TTTTAGTATTTTATTCAGATTTTATTATTGTTACTTACAGTGGGTGGCCTGATCACTTCATTCCATCACTCAATGACTTTAAAGATTTATTTATGCATACAAGAATTGGGGTACAGGCCAGAGGTGTGGGGGGGAGACCAGAGACAGAGTGGGGAGCAGAACAGGCAGATCTACTAAAATCCACTGCTGAGGGGAGCAGCGGGGAGACAGGAGAGGTCTGCTGCACCATGTGGGTAGCTCCCTGGCCGGGGGTTGAACTCGTGCTGTAGTGGCTGCTGATAGCTTCATAGTGCTGAGATTCCTTGCACCACCAGGGAGGCCCCTCAATGACTGTAAATTGTGCTCAAGTGCACATAAAAAAATTAATCATTTTAAGTGCACAGTTCAGTGGTATTAAGTAGATTCACACTGTTGTGCAACCATCACTGCCAACCGTCTCCAGAACGACTCTTGCAACACTTAAACATTGTACTTACGAAACAATTTCATATTTCCTCCTGACACCTAGACACCCTCTATTCCACTTTCTGCCTTTGAAGTTGCCAGCCCTAGGTAGCTCACATAAGTGAAGTCACACCATATATGTGTTTTTGTGATTGTCTTACTTCATATAGGATAATGTCTTTCCGATAGAAGGAATGTGTTTCCTTAAAATTCACATTTTGAAACTACAGCCAGTGGATGGTATTTGGGTGTGGGGCTTTGGGAAGATGATTGTCATGAGGGTGGAGCCCTCTGAACGAGATTAGTGCCCTTATATAAAAGAGACCCTAGATGAGGATTCAGTGAGAAGATGGAATCTGGGAAGCAGATCACCACCAAATACTGAATCTGCTTGAACTATGATCTTGGACTTTCCAACTTCCAGAACTGTTAGAAATAAATTTCTGTTGTTTACAAGCCCCCCAGTTTATGGTACTTTGGTTTACCAGTCCAAATGGACCAGATCACGTTGTAGCGTACGTCAGATTCCCTTCGTTTAAGCAACTGTGTTCATGGATGTATACATCACTTCTTGTTTAATCCACGGGTCTGTTGACGGACATCTGGGTTGTTTCCACCTTGGCTGTTACGAATCATGCTGCTATAAGCATGGGCGTACAAACTTCTTGAAGACCATGCTTTCAATTTTTAAAATACAGAAGTAAAATTGAGGGATCACAAGGTAATTCTACTTCTACTTTTTTCAGGAACCCAATACTCTTTTACTAAGTCCCCTTTTTGCTTCTGTCAGCCAGTTTGTTTCTGCCACCCAGCCAGTGTGAGTCCTGACACATGCACATGCCCAAATCCAGTTTATGGCGTGTGCACTAGCAGCCTCCCCGGAAACAGAGCCAGAGGCAAAGGCCTTCTCCCAAGTGCAGCCCAAGGATACAGGAGTGAGGAGAAAAGGAATAAGAGCAAACCAAAGAGTGTGTGTTACTGAGCAGGTCACATTCCAGGACAAGTGAATCTGCTCAATCTCATGGCACATTTCCTCTGAGGTCATACCTGAAGCTCCTGCACGTCTAGCCTCGATGTGAATAACCGGGACGAGACGATTGGGTTTCGTATCCTGTCGGTTGCAGTTCCAAGGGCACATTTGCGTGGCTGAGACCCTGTTGTGTCCCAAGTTTCCATAGTAACAGAGAAGCCCAGACAAGGGGACAGCAGCTGGGTGTGAATGGGTCCCGGAGCAGCAGGGGTTGGCCGTGGCTGCTGGGGAGGCGCCACAGCTATGGGCACTGGGCCAGGAAGCAGGCACTGGGAGGCCAAGGATGGCATGTCAGGGAACAGGACGGAGGAAGCGGAAGGCTGACTTGTGGGGGCAAAGGTTGAGCTGCAAGGCGAGTCAGCCCAGGGAGGCAAATCCAGCCTGATGAACACAGTTAACAATACTTTCAACACTTCCTTTTTGCCATAGTCTGAAAGTTAAGCTTTCACAGAGACAGCCCCATCACACCTTGCAGCTCAAAGGGAGGAAATACAAACTTTACCTCTTCATGGGAGGAACAGCAAATAATTTGTGGTCATGATGAATGACCACAGATGATGAATCAACCATCCCCAGCACTTCACAACCCCACACAAGAACAAGACTGCATGCACACGCACAGCCCCACCTCAACCACTGCTCTGCTTTCTGCGATTTCTGAAACCACAAAAAATGGAGGTGCCACATCGAGAGGGGGAGGAAAAGGACGTTCACATAACTTTTATTACAGTAGTTTGTTCAACTGCCCCATTGCTGCTGTTCACCTTTCACTGTGCCTAGTTTATTAATTAAACTTTATCACAGACAGGTATAGGAAAAAACATAGTAAATACGAGGTTGGGACTACCCAGGCTTTCAGGCAAGTTTTTATTTTTATTTATTTATTTATTTTTTAAATTTTTTTGGGGTTTTTTTTTTTTTTTTAATAGAGGCATGTTTATTTGTTTGTTTGTTTGTTTTTGTTTATACAAGCACTGGGAACAGTCAGAAGCACGGGAGGGTGAGAGGGTTCACCAGAGCCAGAGCGGGGAGCAGAGCAGGCAGACTGACGAAATACACTGCTGAGGGGAGCAGCGGGCGGCAGGAGAGGTCTGCGCGCCATGTGGGACCCTCCTCCGGTGGCCGGGGAGCAGCCGGGGATCGAACCGGCATCGCAGAGGCCGCGGGCAGCTTCGCAACCCAGCGCTCAACCGCTGCGCCCCCGGGGAGGCCCTCAGGCAAGTTTTTAAATGAGTCGATCTTCAATATTCTCACCACACAACGCGGCAGCCACGTGTAGCAATGGATGTGTTAACCAACCTTCCGGTGGGGGTTATTTCCCAAAATATACATATAACGAAAATAAGTTGTCAGGAAGAGCGCCTAATCTATCGGAGGAAAAGAAAGGCGAACTCCCAGAACCGAGGTGCCGGGTGTCTGGCCTCTGGAGAGCAGGGCTGTGGGACAGCCGGACCAGGCCCACCCTAACACCGCCATACAGCTGCAGAGGCAGGGCGACTGCTACCTGCACCTTCTCCTCCCTGACAGAGCGCCTCTGCTCCAGACAGACCCCTGGCTGGGACTTGGCTGCTAGCGACATCTTGACAGTACTAAGCCTTCCAGTCCAGACTGCCTTCGCTTTAAACAGCTATTTAAGTATTTATACAAGAACCTGGGCACAGGCCAGATGCGCGGGAGGGTGAGAGGATTCACCAGAGACAGAGCGGGGAGCAGAATAGGCAGACTGATGAAATACACTGCTGAGGGGAGCAGCGGGCAAACAGGTGGGGTCTGCCCCCCATGTGGGACCCTCGCCGGCCGGCCGGGGTGGAACCAGCGCTGCAGAGGCTGCGGGCAGCTTCACAGCGCGGCGCTCAACCGCCTGCGCCACCGGGGGAGGCCCGACTCGTTCACTTTTTCTATTTGATCTTCAGATTTGTTCAATTATCCTATCTTCAGAATTCTTCTATCTGCTGAAATATGTTGCTGAGTCTCTTCAGTGAATTAATTTCCCATTATTGTACTTTCCAGCTTTAGAAATTTTTGGTTTCCTTTTTCCTATTCATTCCGTTTGACTCCCACATCACTCTCTTGACTTTCTCCTCGGTTCTTTGGGTCTCTTTAGCAAGTGCATTTCCAGTGTTGCCTCGTAGATCTGTCTTCTGATCCCTCTGAGGGACCGTTTCTGTTTGTTCATCCCCATTCCCTTTTGAACAGGTCATTGATTTGCCTGTGACTTTTAATTGAAAACCGGGCATTTGAAACTAGTAACGTGGGAACGGACCATCAGATCGCACCCCTCCCGCTGCTCTGCTGTTTGACTGTTGTCGGCGAGCTTAGCGCGGCGTGCTGAGCCCGAGGACTCCGCTTTTCAAGCCTTGTGGAACTTTTTGTGCGCCTGTGCCTTTTCCTGGGTAAGCACGGCGCTCACTCCTCTCCAACACGCAGTTACTCTTTGATGTCCTGCGCTTCCGTATCTGGCTCCCAAAGCAAGAAAAATAAAAATGGAGGCGGGACAACAGGGGGTGACCCCTCGTGTCCCCATGAGGACGCCCCAGTTGTGGGGGAGGGGCCCCAAGTCAGAGGCCTGCAATGCTCACTGCCCGCCCGGGGTCTCCACCTTTGTCATGAGCAGTGGCCAGCAGAGATCAGAACCCAAGTCCTCACGTCTGGAGCACAAAGTCCCTGTTCCCAGAAGCTGAGCGCACGCCGCTCTGGGAACAGACGCGCGGCCCGGCGCGGCCTCAGTCGCAGCTGTTCAGCGAGAAGCTGAAGCTGCTGTAAAGTTACGGGAATCCACTGTCCAAGGCTTGTCTGGAAATTGGAAGGCTCCAGGAGACTCCAGAGCTCCCAAACAGGTACATCAAACAAATTCTGCCAGTGTGACTGTTGTCCAGGTGGGGAGATGCCTGGTGCTTCCAGAACCCTCTCCCAGGGGCAGGGATTGGTGCTAAGGTCGCTGGGGACACCTCACCGAGCTCTTATTCAGCGGACCGAGCTCCTAGCAAGGGGGCCAGGGCCGGAGGGCTAAGGTCACTCGGCTGCCACATGGCTGGTAGGGCTGCAGGCCCCAGGAAGCGGACTGGCAGGAGCTGGCACGTGGCCTTACCCCCGAGCCAGCCGTCCTGAGGTCACGGCAAATGTGACCTCAGCCCCCCGAGGGTCTTGGATCACTAGCCCCTGGGGAAAGGTCCAGGGAGGGAGCGCAGGGGAGGGGGAGGCCTGGCTTGTGCCTCCCTCCCCTGTCAGAGGGCAAGTGGACCGGGAGGCCATCCCAGGCATGGGCTCCCCCCGGCCAGGATGACAGCGCAGGTTGGGACCAGCCACGAGCTTGCCCAGGCCCAAAAGCCGCCCCCAAATAAGACCGGCCTATGAATGACCGACCTGTGAACGAGGCCCCCCGGTTGTGCGCGCAGGGTGCGGCTGTAAGCACTTGCCCGTTCCGGATCTCTGCGGCCAACAGGGAGGAGAAAACCCCACTTCGTGCACGTGGGGTAGAGCTTGGGGGGCGGGGGGGGGGGAGAGGGCTGGCGCGGGTTGCAGAAAATGCTGTTTCATGTTTTATTACATCAATGGCTTGAAATTTTTTATTTAACTTCAGCAAATATTGGAAATAGAAAAATGAATTCTGCAGAATTTCACAAATAAATTTGCAACCTCCACTGACATGTCTTCGATGGCGGCGCAGCGCTAATGCTATGGGCGTCACAACGAATGTGCGAAGTAGAAAACAGGCGGGAAGAGGCAGTAAAATACACAACAGCATTATTACAACGTGTTTTCTTTAAAATTCCAACGTGGATTTCCTTATCACTTCAAAAGATATACAGCATTTCCATTATATTTGCAAACTTAACCTTATACATCTTTTAAAATCTTGAAAAATGCTTAAGCAATCTAAAAAGCACTTGGCAAAGTTGATAGGTCTGCACGGTGGACACAGGGGGCCCAGGCCGGCCCCACGCGCCCAGCAGAGGCCGCGGGCTGGGGCGGGGCTGCGGGTGTGCTTGGGGGGCGCGGCTGGGCAGGGCGCTGCGCTCTGCGGAGGCTCACGGGACTCCAGTCTCCTGGAGACCAGCTTCCACCTGCCGTGAACAGCTTGTCCTGGGCCGCGGCCTGAGCAGGGCGCCAGCTAGTGTAATGCACTGGGTGGCTTGTTTTTGGTAGGGGCATACCAAGGGGCGCCAGCCATCGGGGACAGCAGCAGGGCGGAGTCTGGTTCAAAGGGACAGGAGCACTGGGAGTGAGAGGTGGGAGGCGGCGACCGTCGCGGGGACAAGCCCCGCTGCACTCACCGCGGCTCCCGGCCCCGGCCGTTCCGTTTTCACCTTTGGATTGGAGGTTCGCGACCGTCCATGGGTCTCACGGGCTGGAATCCACACCGCGCCGCCGTGAGGGGTCTTGGCAGACGCAAGCCCCACCCGGCGCGCGGCGTTCAAGTAACAAGGTGCCGAGCGCGCGGGGAGGCCCTACCACGTCCCACGGCTACACGGAATTAAATAAAACCAACTCTTAATGCATATGCAGATACGACTCAGGCCTCTCAGGATCTCTAAACTAAAAGTTAAACTACCATTTGCTTCAAGGGTACTAGAGTTTGCACAATAACTTATGAGAAGTTTTTCACAAAAATATATATATAATCACGACATTCACATTGATGACCGAAGACGACAAAGCGGAAATGAGCACCGCACCCGAGCCGCGGCCGTGCCCCGCGCCTGCCCGGCGGCCGCCCGAGTCTTGATATGTTACGAGGGTCTTCACGGAGGGGAGACGAGCCACCCGGCTTTGAAAGCCAAGCGGTTTCTTGCATCCACGACATGCTGTGCTGCCGGCGCCCGTGGCTGCTGCGGAGAGGGGCGCCTCGGCGCCAGCTCCAGCCACCCGGAGGGCGCGAGACACAGCAGGGAGGACCGAAGCTCGGGCACTGCCTCGCGTCCGCTTCACACGATGGGAGAGGCCAGCTCCGCCCCAAGTCTTCCCTGCCGATTTCCAACGACACGGTCGGCTGCTGACAAAAGCAAAATCCAGCCTGATGTGGCTCCTAGTGTTCTTCCGCCACCCGTCGGGCACGGAGGTGTGCCGCCCTTGGGCCCGTCCTTTTTGCCCAGCAGGCACGAGGTGACCCGCCGGGCAGGCCCCATTTCACGCCCTGATTGAATGACCTTTGCCTAGATTTCTAAAAGCAAAAAACCAAATCCATTCCCAACCTTCTAGGCTTCTAGCTGCCCTTCCTTCCTAGAGATCAGCCGACTCAAAAATATAAAAAAAAGGAGCAAGGTGCTTGGGAGTCAGGACACGGTAGATTTTAATTGCATATTTTAAATCCTTAAGAATTCTGCTTGTGCCTTAAAGCATCTACATTGTTTTTTCTTTTTGGTATTGAGAGCGGAAAGGTGTTTAGATGATGCACAGAACGACCACGCGAAAGCTACGCCGACGTACCAATGCAGGCTGGCCAGGCGGCTGCCCCCGGGCCTCCTCAGCCACCACGCTGGTCCTAGTGGTGCCCCCTCAGCAGCCCCCCACCTGGTAAGAGAAGTAATTCTGGAAGCTTCCAGTTTATTAGAAAATTTCACTTGTTCCCAGAGGAGCCGGACGGCCTGCCTCACAACTCTGCAGCTGCTTTTCCGCCATGGCCCCAGCCGCCGGCGCCCCTGCCCGTCCTGCAGCAGCGCGGACTGCGGGCGTGGGGGGGTTGGTGAACACGAGGTTCCCAGCAACACGGCGAGGTCAGCACGCCCAGAGCGGACAGCCTGCGGCTCCTGTACGGCCCTCCCCTGCTACTCTGAGGCCCTTTGTTGAGCTGATCCATGGTCAGAACCCTCAGGGTGGCCCTCGCCTCCTCAGCCCAGTGACGTCATCTTTGGCAAGCGATAAACTTCAAAGAAATAAGACACTAAAACAGAAAAGGGACTGGTAACATGGCTGCCAAAAGGAGAAGGCACCAATTCCAATGTACAAGCACCAGGTACGTGGTGTGGACCGCATCTTGGAGTCGGGCGGCGGCGGGAAGTCAGGACAGGGTGGGTGCGCCCAGGCGGGTGGCGGCGCTGAGAGGTGAAGGCAGAAGGTGTCGAGGTCCACGGTCCCTTGAAGCTGCAGCGTCGTGTCGAGGACAGCTGCTGTGAACGAGCGTTCCACGCAGGCGGGAGGGCGGGCCGAGCCGGTGGCAGAGGGCCACAGAGACGGTGCGGGGGCCACGGGGTGCTCCGGGCGTTTGCACAGAGGCTGGCACGCAGTTGGCCAGAGTCGGGCTTCCAGGAAGCATGATGTCACCTAGCAGACGCCTCAGGAGAGAGCAAGAGAAACTTCCCGAGAGCCAGCAGGGTCGCGGTCACTCTGGAAAGCACGTCATGCACGAAGTGGAGGTCGCAGGCCATGCGGGGACAGAGCCGCTGCTGGGCCGAGCGCCTGCTTGGAAGCTTGGCCAGGAGGAGCTGCCCGAGGTGGGCCCAGGAGCTCTGGAAAGCCATGGAGGCCCCGCAACGGGAGGCAGGCAGGCGCTTGGAACCCGGCGATGCCGGCGCCTGGGAAGTGGCGCCAACATGGGGAACGAGCGAGGACTAAGGCAGACGCAGCCAGGACGCGACCTGCGCCTTTTTGGTAACAGCTGCTTGTCCAGAGTGCGGTGCAGTTGTCAAGGTGACGCCTGGTGACGCCTGGCACCGGTGACACCGCCGTCCACACTGGTGCTCAAGCCCCAGCGTCTCATGAAGCGGACGCGTATCTGACGTCAAGAACAGAAGCAGCCTGAGGAGGAAACAGGAGTCAGCACGGCCACACCCCACGCGTGGTCTGCACAGAGGAGGCCCAGACGGCCTGTCCTGCCAGCACCACGGCCGGGTGGCCAGAGGGCAGGCCAGGTGCGGCCTCCACAGACACAGGCCCCGGGCGCGGAGGCTGCAGCCTCTCTGGCTCTGTGCCTTTGGGCAGGGTCTGGTCTCTTTGGAAAATCAGTTCTTATGCAGAATGCACCACAGCAGGGGCTGCTTCGAGGGACAAAGGGAAACCCCTGGAGCGGGCACAGCAGCGTACCCAGCTGGAGGCCGGCCCCGGGGGCATCCTCACTGGCAAAATGGTGACTAGCGCTCAGCCACAGGCCCTGCTGGAGCCAGGGGTGCCGGCACAAGTGGGGGTCTTCTCTAAAAGCTTTTAACTTTTTATGTTAGTGATACAGTTTTTAAAATGTGGTGTTTTCTAAGCTCGAAATTTAATACAGTCCTATACTGTACAATTAAAAAAAAAAAAAAAAAGCTTGCAAGGCATCTCTTAACCCCTCTGTTCTTCTCAAGGCTGACTCCCAGACCCAGATCTCAAGGCCCAGGTGCACTGAGGTGCACAGCAGCCCTCCGGGCGTCACTGCTGGGCAAAGCGCTGGACGATGGCTCCAGAGCCTGACCACAGCAGTCCCTTTCAGGCAGAATCACAGCGCAGGGCGGCAGTCCCCATCGCAGCAAACCTTTCCTCACTAAGCACACTCACCGTCCATGTCGTCAGCAACTCCAGTCCGGCCTTGTGCTTGCTCAGGCCCCCCCCACCCCGGCTGGACTCCAGCCCGGCCCTGAGCGCCCTGCTCGGGCTCCCCTTCCCTCCCAGACCTGAAGGGAGAAAGTCTCTGGTGGACAGGCCTTAGGCCCCCAAGCTTCTGGCCACCTGATGCCCCTCCCTCTGTGCACTGCGCAGAGAACACCCAGGGTGGGGCGGGCAGCTGGCAGGCAGGGGATGACCCAGAGGCCAGCCGACAAGGACACCAGGCTCGAGCCCCGAGCAGAGCAGTGATCCAGCCAGCTGGCCAGCGTGCCCAACCTTGGTGGACGGAGAGGAGCAGCCGGTCCTCACAGATGAATTTCCTGCTGCAGAGCAACCGGAAGACAGAAAGCCAGGGTGACTCTAAGAGAGGCAGGGGCCAGTGACAAAGAAAACATGGGGAGAGGGCGAGATGCAGATGGCTGGCGAGGCAGACAATGGCGGGCCCCAGGGGACAACCGGTCGCCCTCCAAGGACCTGCTTGGTGGCGGGGGAAGGCCTAGGCCAGGAGGATGGGGCAGTCAGCTGGGAAAGAGTCCTGAGGTGCGCTGCTGTGCGGTCGCCATGGAGGGGGATCATCAGGGACGGACCTTCCTGACAAGCCGGAAATGAAGTCACTGGCTACTAGGGCCAGTCAGGGCATGAGGTGTCTTAACAGAGGGACGCACGAGGAACTGGGGTGTCTGGGTCCCGGCCTGACCATCCCTTCCTTTGACGGAGCGCCATGGCCATGTGTGCAGCAGAGGGGCCGGCGCTCCCACAGGCCGAGGGAGGCTTCTGCCCTGGCAAGTTTGTGAAGGCCCTTTGTACTTCCAGCCTGTGAGCTGTGTCCAGGCCTAGACGCCGACTGGCTGGGAAGGTATGACCGGCTCGGGAAAACAGACGAGTGTCACTGCCTGCGCCAGGGCTAGGCCATGCACAGCCAGGCCTCAGGGGCTACTGTCGCTGCCAGGGCAGACACTCTGCTCCCTCCTCACAAGGGCCTCTGGCAGAAGCCTCCAGAGAGTCAAAGTATGTCACCATCAGCATGTGCATGCTCCTGTTGGCCGCGGCCAAGGCAGAGCCTAACCACCGAGGTCAGCTCCCCAGGGCCACCCTGCTCACCTGACCGGGGCAGGGCCTGGCTGCCCCTGCAACAGGCTCTGAGCACAAAGGGGTCGCATAGACAACACAAAACAGGCCATTTCCAGGCAGTGCTGCCCCGCCCGCGAGTCTGATGAAGTGGTGACTTTGCCTGCAGAGCTCAACTCATCCCTTTTCATGTCAGAGACAAACTCCAAAGTCCAGGGTGGCTGTGAGTGGCCCCTGACCTGGGCCAGTGCCACTCACTTGTCCGTGGGTGTGGGGAGTGCACAGCAGGGCAGGCCAGCCTAAAGGAGGGAATGGCCAGCCCATCAGCCACAGGACACAGGGAGGGAGCAGGCGGCCCCGCGGCTTTAGTAATCCCCTGCCGGGTCCTGGAGTCGACCAGAATGTCCACCACCATGCAGCCATGGCCTGGAGCCGTGCCCCTCAACACTTGAGCCAGCCATCTGCAGACACACCAAAGGGTGGATGGTGTGGCCAGCGGGACTGGCGCAAGCCCTGGCTGGGGAGCCTGTGGCCTGCCATGAGCCCACAGCACGCTGACGTGACTGAGCTCTCACAAGCCTCCAGGGCCCACCCCTGACGTGCACAGTCTTTCTGCGTTCAGACAGCACTGGTTTAAGTAAACCCGGGTGGAATTCAGAATCTGCCTAGGAATTAAAATGTGAGCAACACATAGTGACAAAAACTGACTGGAGTCAGACCGTGTGGCGTTTAAGGTAAGAGTCAAGTTACTGAGCCCAAAGGTATTTCCACAGCTGAAAGCTGCCCTCCCTGAAGAGACTGGCACCAGCGAAAGAGAAGGGCTTGTTGCACACGTACCTCGTCCTCCTCTTCAGGCACCTTGATGGAGTTATCCGGGGACTTCACGGGCTTCTGGCTACTGGGCCCGTTGGCCGCCTCCTTCCCGTGCTCCGCCTCCCACTCTTGCAGGACCTCATCGATGTTGAAGCGGCGTCGATAGTTCACGAAAAAGTTTTTCACTTGTACTACTGACTTGTTCCCAATCACATCTGAGATGGCCTGAAAATCTCGGCCATATTTCCTGATGGCTGAGGACACAAGAGAGCATTTTTATCAACAGAAGAGGAAAACCATTTTCCAAACACACAACTGACACCCCACGTCCAGGTATGAAAGCCACAGGCCTCAGCAGCGGGCAGGCCCTTAGCGCGAGGCCGGCGGAGAGAATAGCCAGCATGGTTCTCCCACCGACAGCCATCCAGCTGCCCAGCCTGACCCCATCACGCCCCTCAGGTTGCAGATGGCCCCGGGCCCGGCAACGTCCCCCGAGGGCTGTGGCTACTCCACAGTGTCTCTTTAAGGCCCCAAGCCCAGAGCACCTGACCGCAGAGCCGCAGCCTTGGGCCTGCTGCGCTCCTGCTCAGGGAGGACACTCACACCTTCAGGAAACCAGGCTCCAGGTTAATGTCACATCCTGGAGACACGGGGAGGCAGAGGGAAGGCCCACAGGGAACGCGGTCACTGGCTACAGTGATGCTCGCCAAGGGGGGCTCTCTGGGAATGCGGCGTGGGGAGCAGGTGGGGCAGCCTTTTCCAGAGCGTGTTCTAAGGAGAAGGCCCCTCACCTTGTACGGCGAGGAGCTGCTCCTCCGTGGTCCAGCGCGCGTTACACTTCTGGGCGACCTGGGCAGCAAAGGACTGCATTAGCACACTGCAGTGAAAGGAGCTGTCCCAAACAGGGCGGGTGAGGCTTTTTCTCACACTAGAGCATCAACATCAACTAGGCACATAAACTCGCGCCTATGCCTGCTAAAGGATGTACATTCATGGCTGTTTTCTTGGACACACACAGCTCGGGTGTCACCTCCAAGATGGCCTTAGCATCTCCTCACCTCTGGCAGTCGATATGGTTCTATCCCACCATCAAGTTTTTCTTTGAGAGCACTGTTTGTCTGCTTAATGTTCTGAATCTAAGAGACAGAAGAAAACATTTTAATTTACAAAATGAAAAAAAAAATTCCCAAAGGTTTAAAAAGAAAATAGAACTAAAAAAACTAAAAGAAACAAAAGACCAAGAGCAAAGACGTCGCTGAGCTCCATGGCAGCCCAAAATGGAGGCCCAACCGCGTCCTCAGAGACATCTGCCTGGCCCTAACTGGCGCGCGCAGCTGCAGACAAGGGGCCGCAGCAAGGGAGGGAGGGCGGGAAGGAGTTTGCTCGCAGCCCAAAGCCCCCTGTGGTCACAGCTGGTCGCCTGAGCAGCAGAACTAGCCCCGGGGCTCTGACACGGAAGACATGGCGCAAGGCCAGGGCTTCTAGGCCCACGACCCCAAGTGACGGCAGGTGGGCGGCGAGAAGCAGGAGGAGCTGGGGCTGGAGCAGGCGCCGAGCGGGGAGCCTCGGACTCCAGGCCCAGAGGGCCCCAGGCAGGTCCACATGCACCACGGCCTTCTTGATGGGGAGGAAGACAGGAAAGCAACGGGCCTGTTTCCCACAAAGCTCATTTGGACCAACTGTAACTTCTGTTTCTCACGAATTATCTTTTCCCGTATCGTTGCTTTGATTCAACAAAACTACACTTCCACTGCCCTCGGCCAATCGAAAGGACACAAACGAACACCACAAACTGCTCGCTCAGCCCACGTCCCACCGGGCCTCCGCCCTGCACGGGCTTGGGCGCACCTGTCCCCACACGCAGCAGGGGTGCGCCTGAGGGCAGACTGTGGGCGCGGGCACCCAGGCTCGCGAGTTAAGAAACAAGGAGAGGGGCCTTCCCGGTGGCGCAGCGGTTGAGCGCTGGGTTGCGAAGCTGCTCACAGCCTCTGCAGCGCTGGTTCGATCCCCGGCTGCTCCCCGGCCACCGGAGGAGGGTCCCACATGGTGCGCAGACCTCTCCTGCCGCCCGCTGCTCCCCTCAGCAGTGTGCTTCGGTCCTTCTGCCTGCTCTGCTCCCCGCTCTGGCTCTGGTGAATTCTCTCACCCTCCCGTGCTTCTGACTGTACCCAGTGCTTGTATAAATAAATAAATAAATCTTAAAAATAATAATAATAAAAAAAAAAGAAACAAGGAGAGAACCAGGCTCATCCTCCTGAGCGAGGCGTCCGCGTCTCTCTCCGGCAGATGGTGCCCCCAAGCAGAAGTCCCACTGAGGCAGGTGAGGAGAAGCAGGGCGAGGAAGCACGCTCACCCTCTTTAACAAACTCTCCTCTTTTTTTTTTTTCAATTTATCAAGTTTTATTTTTGGATATGGGCTAAATCTCAGGAACGGTGGGCCATCTTCAGCCTGCCGTCTTGTACAAGGCTGAGACGTGCGTAACAAACTCTCTTCTAACTCCACAGCGCCGAGCGCCGACAGCTCGCAGAATCTCCGCCTCATGCCCCGTCCTCCCAAGTGCCGCTTCTTCTCAGGGCTTTTAAAGGGAAGTAGATGGGCTGAGAAGAGGTCCCTGTGGTCAAGGGCGCCAGCCGCAGAGCCAGCCCCCAGGCCTATCTGGGTAGTGCCAAGTCGGCCTTAAAGACAAGTGAGAAGGAAAATGCAGGAAACGTGCTCAAAATGTAGAGTAAACCACAAATGGGGACCTTGGTTTACAGAAATTTGCGTTAGTTTATTTTGAAAATGTACAAGAAAGAAACTGGCCCGGAGCTCACTCTGGCGGGCACTGGAGACAGCGCCGCTGCCAACGCAGTGGCCCTGGTCCCGAGGACTTGGGTTTTAACAAGCTCAGACACAAATGTCCATATGTGGGTTTTTGCCACCGCGCAGCCGCGCCCACGCCTGTGCAGAGCAGGGACGCAGGTCACGGAATTCTCCCTCAGTGAAGAGCCCGGCCTAGAAACTTCTGTCAGGGAATCAGCAAATTCTCAAGTCGGGAGTCTGGAGAACGCCCAGCCCTGGCAGCCTGTCGGATGTGTCCTCTGCTCCCTCTCACCGCTTAGCCATGCTCCTGTGGGCAGAGCCAGGCCTACACTGCCGCTGATGGAGCGCTGTCGTCCACAGGCCGGCGACGTGTCTGCACACACGCCTGCTCCCCACGATCGAGAGAGGGGCATGGAGGGTCTTTCCGAGGCCAGAAAGCAACCACCGGCCTCGGAGCACCGTAGACCCACGTCTGCTAGTGACGCTGACCCTACCAGGGGCAGCTAGTGGGGCGCCAGTCCAGGAGCGGAGGGCGAGCTGCCAGCACCCAACCGCGCAAGTGACCCTGTGCTGGGGAAGACACTGGCCGCCGTGGAAGCGGCATTTAAGGAGATGGCAGCAGCAGCACGCAGACCAAGCAGCGCTGCCCAGCCGCCCCCACCCCCGGGCTGGACACAGCCTCCGATCCTTGACCTGGGGGTGGGTGCTCAGAGGCTGCTCTCAGACGTCAGGTGCCCACTCTCCCTGAGGCCCAGGGACCTGGCATTGCTTTCTAGGTGACGACATCCCTGCGGCCAGGAGCAGCCCTGGGAAGCGCTGGCCATGGCCCCAGAACCTCGGGGAAGGCCAAAGCCCTTCCTGCTAAGAGGGGCAGATGGCCAGCTCTGCCTCCACCTCCCCCACCTGCTGGGGATGAGATGCGAAGCTGCAAGATGGCTTCCGGAGCGCCCATTGCCAGCAACAGGCACGACGAGATGCCCAGCCCTCGAGGCCAGGCTGCCAGCCACTGAGGCTGGGACTTCTAGCTATTTGAGAGAAACAAATCCTCGATTACTTAAGCTCTCGGTGATCAGGTTTTCAGGCGACAATGTTTGTGACAGACCAGCAGGCACGAGGCTCCTGGACCAATGGACCACAAGACACGCCCACCTTGTGCCGTCCTGACCTGCTCCCTTTGCATCGTGAAGCCCCTGCCCTGGCACCACACGGCCAGCTGGAGCGTGACGGGTGAGGCGACAGGTCTCCGCTGCAGACAGCCAGGCAGACATGCACGTGTGGAAGAGGCCACGGGCGAGACCGCAGAAGGTAAGGCCCCTTCTTCCAGCCAGACCCACAACCAGAACCCTCGTTCTGAAAACCAGAGACTCTTTCATCTGTCATGCTAGAGGATGAGTAACAGCTTTGTGGAAGCGCTTTAGCACAGTCACTTCCGACAGCCGGCGGCAGGGACCCGGCAGAGCGCTGCCCCGAGGCCCTTGCGGAGGACGAGAAGCGCCACGCGGCCCTGATCAGAGCTCACCCACGCTTCACAAGAGCTGAAACCGCTCGCGCCGCAGCCTCACACATCCTGGGAGATCGGGAGGGAGAGGATAAAGCTCCTCGTATGGAAAAAAGCCCAGAAGATAAAGTGATTCTCCTAAGATGAGAGCACAACCGAGCCGGCTGCTGGGCAAGAGGCTGGCCCTGGGCCGCCTCACCAGACCCCACTCCCTCAGCGACCAAGCCACACGAGGCCACTTTCACCTCCCAAGGAAAGCATCTGGATCAACACGCGCTGGGCAGACAACCGGAAGTCAGCCGCCTGGCCACGGCGCCCCGGCGGGCAGCGGGCACGAATGAAAGAGCAACACTAAACCGCGGGGCAAAGCCAGACACGCGACCAGCGAGCTCTCCTGCAGGGCACACGTCACTAGAAGAATCACTTTGAAAAACAATGTTTTTTCCTAAGAATGACATAAAGTACCAGAACAAAAAGCCCTGAGGACCACGGGCCCTGGGGAGGCCAGACGGCCTCGTGTGCCGTGTCCAGGGCTGCCCTTAGGGTGGAGGTTCTGGTCTATACGGTCACTACAGCCTCAATCAAAACTCTAAGAAAATGATACTTCTGGAAGGTCAGGTGGTTCTAAATTGTACAGAAAATAGAAAGGGTCTGGAACGGGGGCGAGCACCCCGGAGGCTGCAGCAGCAGGGCCAGACGGCTCTTGCCGGGGGCACTTCCGTCCCACTAGGATCACAGACCCGGGGCCCGGCCGAGACCAAGCCGCGGCGGGGAAGGATGGTCTCTAAGACAGCAGGCACTCTATGTGCCCACACCACTGCCGGAGGCCGCCGGCCGGGCAGACACGCCCCTCCCCACCACAACACACACAGCACCCCAGCAGGGCCGAGGTTCCAGAAGCGAAGGCGGCTGAGACTCCCAGAAGCGGGACCTCCGTGCACCCGACATGGGCTCCTAACGCGAAAGACCAGAGGGGGCCTGGGGGGCTTCCACGGGGAAAGTCTGTCCGTCACAAGACACTGCTGAGAAAGCAGACAGGCAGGACTCAGAGTAGGGCGGGGCCTGGCAAACATGGTGATGCCTAGGCCTGCCGGGGAGGTGCCGCGGACATTTGCTGAGCCAAGGCAAAGATGCTGCCACCACAGGCTGACCCAGCCCAATGTCAGCGCTGCTGCCGCCAGGAAAGCCCGATGTACGGCCCAAACTGTTCTGCCGCGTGCCGTGGAACCGTCAGCCCTGCTCGCACTACTGGGCATGGGCACCCAGCCAGCAGCCCCTCAGGCAGACGCCCCAGGACACGCTGCTGGCAGAGTCATGCGCAGCCCCGAGGGAGAAGGTGGCCTGAGGGTGCTTCGCCCACACAGCGAGGAAGATGCACATGGCCACTCACTACTCCGTGTGCCTCATGTACTGGACAAACCAGCCATGAAAGAAGCCACTTCACAAGACTCTGTCTATACAAACTCAAAATGGGGAGAACGACACGTGATGGAAAAGCCAAGACCAGGCCACCTAGTGGGAGGCGGGCAAGGATGCGGCAAGCCCCAGGGTGGCCTGCGACCCAGCTACCTGGCCATGCGCTCCGGCTCTCACACAGCGAACACTCCAATTTTGAAAATAATTTAAGGGAAAAATAAATCAATGGACCAGCACCTAAACTGTTCCAGCCAATTTCATAGAAACAAAATGCACAAGGGCCTCTCTGGTGGCACAGGGGTTAGTCTCAGTGTTATGAAGCGATGGCCAGCCACTGCGGCCTGAGTTCGATTCCTGGCAAGGGAGCTACCCACAGGACGCAGCAAGACCTCTCCTGTCTCCCCGCTGTTCCCCTCTGCAGAAGATCTCAGTGGATCCGCCTGCTCTGCTCCCCACTCTGTCTCTGGGGAGTCCTCGCACCCTGCATCTCTGGCCTGCATCGCAATTCTTGCATGCATTAATAAATTAAGAAAGAAATAAATTAAAATAGAAACAAAATGCCCTTTGCCATTTGTGGAGACAGAACGCCCACTGCTGACTTCGCTGACATGGCTGTGGGTACCTGGCGCTTGATGGAAACCAGCTCCATGTCCAGGTGTCGAAGCACGGTGGTAGCCGCTGTGGCATTGGCAGAAACGGCCTCCACATCTTCTTGAGAAAGGAACATCCCTCTCGGAGGCTTCCTTTTCGCTCTATTCTTCGCTTGTGTGCTGTGCTTTTCTTTTTTAATCTGAGGAACTGTCTCAGTGGGGGGCACCTGCGTGATACATGTGTTTGATAAATGAAACTGAAAAAAAAAATTAAAATGCCCAATGTGGGCCTCCTTGATGACACAGGCATTAGTCTCAGGCTGTCACTGCTGTGGCCTGAGTTCGATCCCCGGCCAGGGAGCTACCCACAGGGTGCACCAGCCCTCTCCTGTCTCCCCGCTGCTCCCCTCAGCAGTGGTTTTCAATGGATCCACCTGTTCTGCTCCCCACCATCTCTGGTGAGTCCTTTCACCCCCACCCCTCTGGCCTAACCCCAGTTCTACCAAAAACAAGAAAAAGAGAGAGATACTGTGCATAAACAAATAAACGAAATGCCCAGCAAAGGTGAGAAAGTGCTATCTCCTTAACAGGGTCCAGTCTAAGCCCAGTAACGTGCATGCCACAGTCACCAGCTCCAGAGCGCAGCAGGCAGTTAACAGGCAGGAACACTGGCTAGTGAATTTGGGAAAACACTTCAAAGTGTACTCCATTTCCTTCTTGTACAGACACATCCTCATTCTATCACTTTAAGACTGTAGCAGTAAGCACGCTCACCTGCCTGCAGTAATTGGGGAAATCTGTATTCTCCCCTGGGGAGCTTTGTGAATAAGGAACTATTTTATCCTAACAGGCCCTAACAATACAGAGGACAGATGACCACTGTAAGGAAAAAATGATTCTGCACATGTATAAAATATACATTCAAGTCCTGTAAATCTTCTCAGAAGTCCACAAAAATATAAACTTCAATGTGAAATTATGACTGGTTTATACTTTTTTTTGGAGATGACACAACGTTTAGGGCAACTGTGTGACTTACTTCAAACAGTATACGTGTAATCTTAAAATGCATGGCTGATTAACTTTCTTAAAAGTGCTTTCTCTAAAATCAAAACCTCCAGCAATGGAATGCAGTAAACGCTCGCCAGGAAAGAGTGACCACTCACTGGCCCCTGCTTTGAGAGGAAAGGGCTTGTGACTGTTCGCAGCCACCTTCTGCTGCGTGCATTAGCATGGCCAGCACGGCTGGACATGCCAGGCCTCTCCGCTCCATGGCGCAGCCACCACGCCTGACAGCAGGCACATGCAGTACATGGACATACCACGGGCGGCCAGTCCAGTACTGTGCCGCACCGTGCTGCCCACCCGCTGGCCACATATCTGCTTGGGCAACATTTTAGTAGTTGAAGAAACCAAGATTCAACCATTATTTTTGAATCAGACATTGTTTTATATAAATAAGAATTACAGAAATTAATATAAAACCCAGCCTTCTTTCATTAAAAATGTTCTATTGAAAGAACCTTACAAATAAAAATGCATCAAAACAAAGCTTATTAAAAATTGTAAATGTGATCTGGTTTCCCAAACAATCCAATGTAGCGAGCCCTTCTGGGTCCTGGCAAGCTGCTGCCACCCAGCAGTCACTAGCTCCAAGGTGGTGACACGCACCAAAAGACATCTTAAAGATGTTTCTAGAACACTCTGACCCAGCAATTCAACTGCCAGAAATTAATTCTAATGGAAAAAATTAAGAGCACTGATATGAGTGTGTGGACAGGGGCCGCCGCCTGCTAAGCAGCCGCAGTGCTGTGGGTGCCGTGCTCACTGCCACATGCAAGCGTGGGGCTCCCGCTCTGTGACACGTGTATCATGGCAGAGTGTTAAGGTCGAGGTACATCCAGACACCTCCGCTCTTCCCAGCCTAATACAGCTGTTCTCCTATAATGCCCTTTTGAACGAGAGACTCCTCGGAGGCTCTACTACAGCTGCGGGCGCTGTCTGAGCAGCAGCGGTGAGCATGCACTGGGCATGTCCATGCTGGACTGGTCCTCCAGTTAGAGCTAAGGGCTGAAGGGCTCCAGGGTGCTCAGCAGCCCTTTCCTGGGGGGAGCCCTGGTGATATCCCTGGGGGGGTCTGTGCAGGTGAGGCTTGGCTTGGGGTGTCCAACCTGTTCCATGGAGTCCTGGGTCTCCCTGGAGAAGCCTGAGGTTCCCACACATGCTTTACTAAATTATGGGTACCATGATCCACCATGCAACCCCCATCCTCACACCCCACTGTTCTCAGTGGGAAAGTCACAATAAACAAATGTTACATATAAACAAATGTTACAAATAAAACAGTCACATGCAACTGCAGAGATTCATGGGTCCTTTAAATCCAGAGACTAAAAACACCTGGGTGATTCTGAAGACGGGCGAGACCAACGTTCACCGTGGTGCAGCGTCCCTGGGTATGACCCAGGCCGCTGGCTCTGCCAGTGCCAGGAAGACCACCAGGCTGGGCGCCTCAGGAAGGAAGGCAGCCAGGGCCCTGCTTCCCCCGGCAAGCCCCGCGCTCGCTGCGGCTGCCTTGTCCTCGAAGGCTTCCCTTTACTCATGTTTCTTGGTCAACAAAACTCTAAGTTCTATAAAGCGAAGTGAGTATTGTTTAAAAACCATATTATGACCCCTTGGACACAGCACTTACTATATTACGTAGGGTAGAGGAAGGGGAACGTTTTACTGAAGGAACTAGTAATGACATGTATTTGCCTAAACAATACCAGGGGAAAAAATACCTCCTTTTTGCTTTCCTTGTTTTGATCAATCTCAATGTCAATGGGGTTATTTCCATTTGTTTCTTCCAGTTCATCCTCACTGGAAGACAAGAACAGGTTACTACAGGTTACTTTATACTAATTCTATTTAATACACAAACATAAGCAATAAAATGACTCAACGACAGATATAATAGGAAATCAGTATTTGTTTTCAGAATGCTGAGATAAAAACATCTTTAAAATTAAAATAATGAGGGCCTCCCTGGTGGTGCAAGGGGTTAAGACGCAACCTACGCAGCTGTCCACAGCCACTGCAGCACGAGTTCAATCCCCACCCAGGGAGCCGACCCACATGGCGCAGCAGACCCCTCCTGTCTCCCCGCTGCTCCCCTCAGCAGTGGATTTCAGTCAGTCTGCCTGTTCTGCTCCCCACTCTATCTCTGGTGAATCCTCTCACCTCCCCTCCACACCTCTGGCCTGTACCCCATCTCTTGTATGCATAAATAAATAAATCTTTAAAAATAAAATAATGACTCCATGGTTCTTTCATTCTAAATGATAAAAATACCAGTAAAGTAGGTTTCCAACTCCTAAACCCGGTCTAGAACACCACTACTTTATACTTGTGAAGTGCTTTCTCTCGACTCAACTGAAGTATCTTTACACTGTTTCTTACATTTCCCCATGACTGCCCGGTGGAGGACCAGGACAGGGGGACCAGGCCGACAGAGAAGTCAGGCACAGACTAGGGAGCGACGCCATGCTTGGGCCCACCTGCCTCCTCACAGAAACACAAGCCTGAGAGTGGGAGGGCCCAGCTTGCGGTCGGGATAACTGGTATTTTAAATTAATTAAATTTTAGAACACTTGCGCTGTACGGCACTTCAGGTATTTTTACCTACATTCACCTATGTAATATTCATTTTGAAACAAAAACAAAAGCCACGGTGTGGCAGGTAGGACCTTCACCACATCCAGGAAGAGCCCCAAGGCTCAGCGAGACCACAGCCCCTGCACGAGGCTCGCCTTCCAGCCACCCTCCTCACCCCAGGAGTGACAGGTTGTGGCCGGGGAGAGAGCGCCCGAGGAGGCACCCTGGGGCTGAGAGGGCTCCGTCTTGGGGCAGGAGAGGGTTCCGTCCCGGTCCCTGTTCTTCCTTCCCAGGGCTCGCCCTGCCCGTACCGCGGTTCCCCGCACGGTGATGCTGCAGCCTGGCCTCTGATCCCCTGAAGGATAACAAACCCCAGTTTACTTCCTCATTTAAGCCTGACTTCAGTGCAGAAGGATGCACCTGCCTGCAGTGACAGGCTCAACTGAGAGACAGTGAATAAGACCTGCACGTAGCGGAAATGCCAAGTCTAAATCCAAGCTGCCTGAGCCCTTCCCCAGCTAGTAAAAGCGCGGACCCCACCCAGACCTCAGATGGATGCTGCAGAGCAAAAGCACACGGCTGCGTCAAGGGTGGCGTCCCCAGACTCCTACAGCCCGAGCGTGGGTGGGGCATCCTCAGCACCGCTGCCCTTTCAGACGTGGCCCAGAGTCCAGGCTCTCCAACAGCCGCGCGCCCCCCGGCCTGTTCCAGGTCCTCTTTCACTCGAAATCACAAAAGCTCCTCTGAGATGGGGCTATAGAGATTACACAGTTCCTCTTCCTTCATTTAACATTTTTTTTTTTTAAATTAAAAGTGTGGAAAATAGGTTTTAAAAACCACCAACATTTTCCCCCAACCTAAAAAAGGGTCACGTTGGTGTATGGCTTTCTGGACTTTAATAAACACCATCGTCTAAGAACAGAGGAAATTAAGGCCGGGGGTGGAAAGTGCTGACCGGCCTTGCCCAGGAGGGTCTAAGCTGGACCTCTGCTGGAGGCTACAGCCACTTCCGAGCGGAGCTCAGCCCCTCAGCCCACCTTTCAGACCATAAGACGCAGTATGCGCGCTGCTCTGTCCGTGAAACTCATATTTTTACTAAGAAATCACAAAATGTCCCCTCCTCCCCTCACAGTCACAAAACAGATGATCAGAAACAGGAAGGAAACCCAAACTGTTCTGTGATCTCTCCTAATAAACCCAACATACAAGCTTGTCAGTGCTGCATAAGCAAACCACATTAATTTCAGCCCTGGACACCCAGGTGCCCCCTCTAGCAGGAGACGCCCTGCGGCAGCATGAGGATGCGCTCGGGCAAGGCCTCTCTCGAGTCACAGGTCTACCCGCAGCTGGCGGTGGTGAGAACACCACCAGCATGGAGCAGGCTCACGTGCTGAACAGCTCACGAGCGCTGAGCCGGGGTGTGTGCCAGCCTGGGCTCCGGGGACGGTGCGGGAAAATGCAATCACCCCACCTTTCCTAGTCGGGCTCCCCAGGTCTTTAGAACCGCTGCAGCTCGGGACAGCCCCCAGCACACTGACCTCTCCTCACGCTCCCGCTTCTGCTTCCGAGCGTGGCGGTCCATCACGCTGGTCTTGGTCCTGGTCTTCTTCCAAGAATAGTAGAACTTGACGAGGCTGGCGATCGACTTGTCAGGAAGCTGCACGTCAAAGACGAGTCGATTTAGGTTTAAACCTAATCTTTACAAATCAAGCGTGTTTAGGTACATGTAATAAAGATCACGCACCCACATTATGAAAGGCCTGGGCCTCAGAGCCTTTCCTCTAAAGAAGACAACTGCTGAAGAACTTTCCTCCCTGCAACTCCAAGTTACTAATGTTCCAACTGTACACTTAGCTCATGAGTCCATTTAAGAAGAATCCGAATCTCATGCACCTAAAGTTCTAGCGTAACTTTTGGATTTTATTTTCAAATTCACTTCAAGCCCTGACACAGCTGTCCACAAGCATTCATGGAAGGAGCCCACCGAAGAACTTTCTAGAAGGTGAAAGGCAGGCAGGTCTTCCCCAGGTAGGCAGGTCTCTGACACGCCACCTCAGATAATCCCCAAAGACCCTTCCTATAGGACTCATCTTCTGGGGGAGTCCCACCAGGGAGGGCAGGCGTGACACCGCCAAGCAGGGAGAGCTGGGGAGTGTCACTTGTGCAGTGGGCACCTTCCTTCCCGGCCAGCGACCGGCACCGAGCTGCTTCTAGGGAGTGCTGTCAGGAGGGGCCCACACGTGAGGTCGTGATCCTTCCCCTTAGGCTGCGGGGGTGACGGTGGTCTCATCTACTCACCATTTGTTGGATTCTATGAAAAGTTTTCCCGTGAAAACTAAAGGCTTGCTCAAATAAGACTTTATCTTCCACAGTCCACTCATCTGGGAAGGGGGTAAAGTTGGGCAAATCAGCCAATGACTTTTCAATATTATGCTTATGCCAAAATAGCATTCCAAGAGCCTAGAAAAACAGTATCAGTGACATTTTAGATCAAAGACATGAATGAAACATTAAAAGAAATGAGGTGAGAGGACGCGCGTGGCTGCGCACAGACAAGCGAGCGCCTGGCCCTGCTCCTCCTCAGCAGCCCCGGCCCCGCACGGCCTTCTCCGGTCCGGACACAGAGCTGAGGAGCGACTTCCCCAGTGCCAGTGCGGGGGACAGAAGCCTCAGGTGGGCTAGTGGCGGGGGGTAGGGGGTGGGGCAAGCAAGAAACTGGGCTCTTGATGCCGCTGCACGGAAGGAGACAGTAACTGCTTTATTGTTCTTTTGCCCAAAAACTCAAAAATACAGTTTGTTTGTTTTTTAATCTCAGGAGAAAATACACAAATGGGTAACTAGAAATGAGACATAAATTAAGGAATATTTTCCTGAGAAAACACCTGTATTATGAACATGAAAATGTTCATATTTTTGAAAAACAAAATCCTTAAACATTCATACAAATACATTTATCAATCACCCAATAATATTTACATTTGCTAAACAGATAAAATTGGAGGATTTTTCTGAGCAACCTTGTGAAGTTTGTGAGCACAGTTTGGAAAAAGAGAAGCAAGAGGCCCTCCCTGGGGGCGCAGGGGTCAGTCTCAGCGCTATCAAGCTATCAGGCCACTGTGGCCTGAGAGTGACCCCTGGCCAGGGAGCTGACCCACAGGGCGCAGCAGATCTCTCCTGTCTCCCTCTGCCCCCCCTCAGCAGTGGATCTCAGTGGATCTGCCTGTTCTGTTCCCCACTCTGTCTCTGGGGAGTTCTCTCACTCATCCCACACTCCTGGCCTGTACCCCAGTTCTTGTAGCATAAATAAATCTTTTAAAAAAGCAGCAAGAAAGATCACCTTACTGTAATTGTCTAGCAATTCTACCAGATCAACTGACTGAGAAGGCCAAGGCTGGAGCCAGTGTGTCCCTGCCAGGCCGCGAGGGGCGTGCTGGGCACCAGGGCAGGCGAGCCGCTTGAGGCTGAGCACCTGGACCTGCACGCCAGGAAGTACCAGCCCGACCCACTCACTGCAGAAGCAGGCCCCAGCGACAGGACTGAAAGAGATGCCACGCTTCCGGAGGAGAAATACTCTCGTAGGCTTCTCATTAACAGGCTCCAAATAACTTAAACTTGGTCAAATGTTCAAGGATGAGTGACGCAACACAAGCAACATGGCACCAAGATGCAGCTGCAGGCCCGGGGCGGTAGCCAAGTCGGGGGCACCCACATCGCAGTGGCACAGACCCCCTGCGGCCCAGCGCGAGGCCCAGCGCACACACCCGCTGCTGCAGCCAGCCCCTGGCTACCCTGCCAGTGACCACCCAAGAGAGCCATGGGGGACAGAGCTGCGGGACCCCTGTAAGCAGGGCCCAGAACAAGTGGGCGGGCTCACCTGTTCCATGTTGTAGCCGTGCTTCTCCTTGGCGATGGCGATGTACTCGTCCACTGAAAGGCAAAAAGGCAGGGGGCTGAGGGGGACGCAGGCCGTCCACACCCTCCCCACCCTGCACAGGCACCGCAGCCCCCGCCCCAATAAGAGGAGACAGGGTGGTAACAGCCCTGAAGTCTTGAGGAGGACCCACTGTGGCTCTTACACACCTAAACCCCAGAGAAGTGACTGGAAGGAGACTCAAGTGCTAACAGTACTTACCTGTGGTTGGCGAGATCATGACTCTCATTTTTTTTTTTTAAAGATTTTATTTTATTATTTATTTATTCATACAAGCACTGGGTACAGTTAAAAGCGCGGGAGGGTGAGAGGATTCACCAGAGCCAGAGCGGGGAGCAGAGCAGGCAGAAGGACCGAAGGACACTGCTGAGGGGAGCAGCGGGCGGCAGGAGAGGTCTGCGCGCCATGTGGGACCCTCCTCCCGGTGGCCGGGGAGCAGCCGGGGATTGAACCGGCACTGAGGAGGCTGCGGGCAGCTTCGCAACCCAGCGCTCAACCGCTGCGCCACCGGGGAGGCCCTCTCATTTTTTTTTTTAAAGACATATATTTATTTATACAAGCACTGGGTACAGTCAGAAGTGCAGGAGGGTGAGAGAATTCACCAGAGCCAGAGCAGGGAGCAGAACATGCAGACTGACTGAAATACACCGCTGAGGGGAGCAGCAGCAGGCAAGACAGGAGAGGTCTGCGCGCCATGTGGGACCCTCGCTGGCGGCGGGGGAATAGAACTGGCGCTGCAGAGGCTGGGGACAGCTTTGCAGCCCAGCACTCAACCGCTGTGCCACCAGGGAGGCCCCATAACTCTTATTTTTTTTTTTAAAACTTGGCTCTACTTAAATTTGCCATGACAAACAAGTACCACTTTGGTATTTTGAAAAATGATTTAGTGGGCCTCCCTGGTGGTGAAGGGGTTAATCACCGCACTATGAAGCAATCCACAGCCTCTGCAGCATGAGTTCGATCCCTGGCAGGCCAGGGAGCTACCCACACGGCACAGCAGACCTCTCCTGTCTCACCCACTGCTCCCCTCAGCAGTGTACTTCGGTCAGTCTGCCTGTTCTGTTCCCCAATGTCTCTGGTGAACCCTCTCTCACCCCCCACACCTCTGGCCTGTACCCCAGCTCTTGTATGCATAAATAAATAAAATCTTTCAAAAAATGATTTAGAATCAAGTATTAAATTTGGGTTCATTTTTAGTCTCAGCTGAGGGTGATGAAAAAGCAGCCAAGGTTTATGTCAAGAAAAAGCTAAGCCATCAGCGAGGTCACCCAAGCCTGGCACAGGCCTCCAGCCTGCCGCCCACTGTGGCCAGGGACACCTCTCAAGCACTGAGGAGTGCCGGGAAGGCAGCTGACCGGGGCCAGGAGTCTACATCCTCCCTGCATGTTCTCCTCTTTTCTCCATGTCCTACCTGAAAAACAAGAGGCTACTTTGTAGCCAGCAGCACTTCCTCAGCTTCACTTAGGGCCTTTCTTTACTGATTACAAAAAAAAGTTGATCACAAAAACAGAAAAACAAGTAGCCCAGAGTACAGGGAGCCCTGGACTCCCCACACGCCCCATCCCTGAGGCGGGCCCAGGGCACTCCCCGCCCAGGTGCAGGCAGGGAACACTGGCCCGGGCGGAGGCAGTTCTGGAATTGAGGACTTTGTAGGCACACAGGCCCATACCGGGGTTCCGTGCTGCCGAAAGGCAGCGCCTTCTGGCGCGCCCCCACCTAGGTGCAGGTCCAGGCCCCCGGCCTTGGGCGCTTTCAGACTGACTGGTCACTGCACCCCGGACACGGGGACACGCCATTTTCCTGAGAATCAGTAACCACCCAGAGGGTCCTGGTTTGCCACAAAAGTGGAAAGTGATCGTTTTAAGAACGGGGAGGAAACTATGCCAGAGCACACACCTTTCTTAGCCCCTCACGACACGGCGGGTGATCTGAATAGCAGGGGAAAGGCAGGGCATCGTGGGGCACTTGGGAGAGGCCAGCAAGGAGACCCCAGGGATGCGCCGGGGCACACGACAGACGCAGTAACGGGCGGCACGAGAGCCCAGACATGGAAGGGGACAGGGAAATGCTGCGGGAGCGGAGGGTCACCTTGCAGAAGTAGGCAGAGGGCCCTGCAGCCACCATGCCCAGCACAGGGGCTTGTGCACCAGCCCCACCATTGCACCAGGGAGGGGTAGAGGACGCCGCAACCGGGAGAGCACAGTGTCAAAGGTGGGTGTGCCAGATCCCCGAGAAAGCAGGCGGAACCCCTACAGTCTGGACAGCTCCTGCTGACCTGCGCTTCCTGTGCCCAGAGCCTGGGCACTGGCTGGCAGGCCCCAGACACAGGAAGATACCCAGGGATGGAGAGCAAGGGCAGGGGGGAGGAGCGACACAGGGGGAGGGGCGGGCACGCCTCCTCAGGTCCTGACAGCTGCCACATCCGGGAGTCTGCCGTGCCTCCGGTGCTCGGAGCGGGGCACACAGACAGTCTCTCTAGCCTTCCCTGATCGTTCCGTGATGGCTCCCACTCGAGAATGGAGAAAGCAAGGGTCAGAAAAGTCAGGCCGCTTGGCCAGGCCGGCCGGCAACCACAGAAACAGGCTGACAGCCGATGGGGGGCTGGCCCGCAAGGGGAGCACGGGGTGGGCCGCGCTGTGGCGGGCCAAGGCTCTCCCACTGAGGCGCCTGCCTTGTTCTGCGTTCACGTTGCCGTCCAGGGGAGGAACTGCCCCGGTGCCCGCAGCCAGCCTCCAAGTCAACGGAAACAGGAGGAAGAATGCGGACCGTGGGGCCAGCGCCCAGGAGCCCCGCCGCCCCCTCCCCTCCCGGGACGCGGCGAGCCCACACCCAGTGACCCTGCGTCCCTGCGAGCGAGGCTGACCCAGCAGGCGGGCGAGGACAAGCCGCAGTCTCGGTGCAGGTTTGCGTGTTTCACTGTCAGGTCTGCACGAGTCCTGGGCACTGCCCTCCCGTGCCTGCAGCTCATCCAGGACGCAGCCAACAGCGCGGTGCCCACTGTATCACTAGCAAGGGACGCGGGTTCGGGATTTGAGCGGGTGTGGAGCCCCCGCGGGCGCAGGCTCCACTGGACGGGCGTTTCCCAGGCCGCCCGCGAGGATAGGCCTGGCCGGGGTAAGACGCACTTTACTGTGAAAATGCTATTTCTTGGTGCGGTTTGGTCAAAACCCCACTTTACAGGAGCAGCGCCTTCTATGCCCTGGTACCCCGGGAACCACCACAAATGCTCACCCAGGCGCAGACAAGGCGCCCTCCTGGGGGCCATGGGCTCCAGCCAGCTCACGAACCCCCTTCCACCGTCACCCTGACGACCAAGGGCGCCGCCCACCACCACACTCCAGCCACACACATGGCGCCCGGGATTGGGCGGCCTGCAGGGACCCTCCCACGCAGCAACGCCTGTGCAGACAAGCTCAGGGCACGCACGTCAAGTCAACTGACCAGCAAGCGAGTCCCTCGGCACCGTATCCTCAGGATATGCTCCTGCTCTCGTGTTTTTTTTTTTTTTTTTTTTTTAAAGATTTATTTATTTATTTAACAACCACTGGGTATAGTCAGAAGCGCGGGAGGGTGAGAGGATTCACCAGAGCCAGAGCGGGGAACAGAACAGGCAGACCGATGAAATACACTGCTGAGGGCAGGAGAGGTCTGCGCGCCATGTGGGACCCTCGCCTGGTGGCTGGGGATCGAACCGGTGCTGCTGAGGCTGCGCGCAGCGCTCAACTGCTGTGCCACCAGGGGAGGTCCTCCTGCTCTCATGTTTTGCCCTGGATTCTGTGAGCCACAGGAAGGGGCCAGGCTGCAAACACCAGCCAGCCCAGCATGGGGGTTGGAGTGGGGTGCTGTGGGGTCCCCCACAGCCCTACAGCCCTACGGTGGGCTGGAAGGGGCCACCACCAATGATCTGGCCTCAACCAGGGACTTTGCATGCTGGACCTGACTCCTCCCTCTCGTCCAGGAGGAGCAGCAGGTGAGACCACCGGCCTCTCTCCAAGGAACACCTGCTGCCGAGCGGCATTAATGTGAATTCCTGCAGTCACAGGTGGGGTTCAGTTGGAGGCACTTCGTACAGTTCACGCCGTACAAGCAGCAGCTACTACTACGTGTGTGTGGGGGGGCAGCAAACAGGCGAAGGAAGTCAAACCACATGACGCAGCTGCATCCACCGCTTCCTGCTGTGGCCAAGGAAGGCGTCCCTGGCAGTAACACTTGATGGGTGACCAGGAAGGGCCAAGGGAACCATGTAGCCACCCGGGAAGTGTCCCCAGAGGGAAGAGAAACGGCTCTGGGAGCAGGCATGGACAGCTTCCAGGGGCAGAGACTGGGTCAGGCTGAGCAGGGCCTGGAGCGCCTGTGGGGTGGCACTTCCGGGAGGCGGTGCGCAGACTGGGGGGGCCACCCCCAGGCACCCCGCCGGGCGCGCCCACTGCCTACCCTGGAGTCCCCAGCAAGTCAACCCGAAATACGCGTAATGAAGTCCAGTGACCTTAACCCACAACGCCGTGTGTGTGTCTAAGGAAGGCTCGCACTCCAAGAAAGCGGCAACTCATTTTAAAACCCTTCATTTGACTCTGTCTTTTGACAAACTTTGCCTTTTGACAGAATTCTGCATGGCTGGCGAACCGGGGTGTGCTCAGTTTTCCTTCCTATCCAGCAGGCACCCAGCTTAGAAATAAGGCCGTTGTCCTGTGTGTCTGAGACCCACACTTCTTACCACCGTACCAGCTTATCCTCATTTTTATGAAATAAAAGCGAAATGTAATCCCCTCTTAAAGAGCTGCAAAAGCACTTACCACACAGAACCTACAAGACACGAACGCACAAACGAGGGAATCCGCTGCGTCCTCACTCCCAGCAGCAGAGCTGGCTTCCCGCACCCGCCCCTTGCAGACCCCCGTCCCCGGGTGTGGATGGCCACACAGGCCTCCCCTCCAGCCCCAAAGTTCCACCTTTCAAGCCCTACCTCAGAGACTCACAATAGAAACTGGGCCTCGGATTATTTTATTCCCGGCCCCAACGGCTCGGCTCTCCTCAGCCCCCTCTAGGCACCCCCAGGCCACAATTCCGCATGGCACGGGACCACTCCTGCCTTGGTCAGCTCTTTATTTTCCTTACAATAGTAGAGCGAACCAGACTGAGAATAAGATCGAGCCTAGCTCTACACACATTTCAAAGAAGAAAAAATTCGTTTTAAAAAAAAAATACTTAAAATTTCCTGTACTAACACGTCCACTTTGTCGTGCTGGCTTTCAGCTGCTTCTCCACAGACCCCAAACCTCGCATGTGTCTACCTAAGAGCAGACTGCGGGAAAGACTGCCCTGAGGTCGTCAGCTGGCCAGGCCAGGGGGCCAGGGCACACGAGGAGAGCGCCCCTAAGAGGGGGCAGCCGGGAATGGGGTGAGGAGAGGGCCCCAGGCGGGAGAGGAGGGGCGTGGGGCAGGAGGAGGGCCGCACACATCACATGGGCATGGGGGGGGGGCACCAGGGAGCTGGCGTCTCGCAGAGCGCCTGGCAGACTCTTCGTCAACACCAAGGGGAGCAAAGGCTGGGACCGCGCGGGTGCCCCAGGATCCACCGAGGCCACGTGCCATGACCTGTGTCTGTTTGGGGGCAGTTCCGACTGCGGCGATGGCAACTAGACTCCCTAGGTCTGCATCCAGTCCCCCTGGGCGCCAATTCCCTCACCTGGAACGGAGCTCCCTAAACCGAGGCCGTTGGGAACTTTCTGAAGAGGGGCCTCACTGGTGGCGCAAGAGGTTAAGCACCGCACTACGAAGCAATTCGCAGCCTCTGCAGCACGAGTTCAATCCCCGGCCAGGGAGCAACCCACATGGCAGGCAGACCTCTCCTGTCTCCCCGCTGCTCCCCTCAGCAGTGTACTTCGGTCCTTCTGCCTGCTCTGTTCCCCACTCTGGCTCTGGTGAACCCTCTCACCCCCCGCATCTCTGGCCTGTACCCCAGTTCTTATATGCATAAATGAATAAAATCTTTAAAAATAAATAAAATAAAGAACAAAGACAAGTGGCAGCCCCTTCTATGTGCTGGGGGAGGGGCGTGGAGGAGGGACGGGTGCTGGCAGCAGGGCCACCCCAGGTCATCAGAGAGGAACAGGGCCCCAGAGCCCGCAGGTGGTGCCTGGTGAGAGCCCAACTCGCATGAGGGAGCGCCCGTGGCCGTTCCACGCTTGAGGCAGTTGCAAGGCCCTGCCAGCTCTGTTCCTAGGGATGCAGCTAAAACAACAAAACCACGAGAGGAAACATCAAAAATAACCAAAAAACAAAGAGAACAAAGCTTTGTGATTCAGTTTTCACTAGCGCCTTCTTTTCCAAAAGCAACAGAGTGCCAGTTACAGGTAAGCGCGGGACAGGCTGCCGCGGGCCCGCATGTGCCCGCAGCCCCTCCACCCAGCACTGGGGCATGGGCGCGCGCCACACACACAGCTCCTCTCGTGGGTAACGCATGCATAGCAAAGTAACTGGGAAAAGGTTCCCTAGCTGGGTCATGGAATCCTGGGCAAATTGTTCCTTCCACACACCTTTATGGGTCTTCTGAACTTTCAACAAAATATAAATGTTACTAGTCGATTCAAAGTTTTACCAAAACCGGCAGGGCCTGCAGTAAACTGCAAACCTGCTTAGCCAGTACCACTTTTTAAAAACGTATTAATTTCTCATATTCTACTCTTTTCTTCCAGGTCCAGAAAAGGCAACATCAACATAATACTAACCCTAAACGCCTGCTGCAAAGATGCCAGCGGGCAATACGAGAGTGAAGGTGCCAACGCAATCCTGAGCTGAGGCCGGAGCGCCCCTCCAGGACAGCTGGCGCACCAGGGTGGGGGGAGGCCCCCTCCCGCTCCTCTGGGGTAGCTTCACAACCCTCTCTGAACTGTGAAGAGCCACCTGAAAAATGGGGGTAAAAATTTCTTCCTGGGCTATCGTGCCGACTGACTGACAAGGCCTGGGAACCTCTCGGCACAGCGCTCAGCACAAAGGCTGGACGAGCGCTCTCTGCTCTGGCTATGCGGCTCTGGACACCACGACTTCAGACGACACGTGGCCCATGGAGCACGTCCTGGAGGGCGCCACAATGGCCAGAGGCCCGACTCAGCCACCGGCAAACGCTGAAAGCAACTCGGCAGGCCCCACGCGGGGGCGGGAAGGGAGGCAGGCTGTGCAACCTCAGGGACGGCTGCACACGCACTCCCTGAAGCAGAGTTCAGGAAACCAGGCTTTAAATATTACAGGAGTCAGATTTTTCAGCTCTCTGGTAGAAAGAACAACATGTTCAAAAATGGAACAGATTGCTTTTGGAAGTCAGCAAGTGCTCAAAAGGAGGAACCAAAAAACAAACAGGAAACACTTAAAAGGCCTCCCCCAGCACAGCAAAGGCCTCGTAAAGGCCAATGCCCCCGCCCCTCCGGCCCTCTGTTCATCACAACTCACCAAACAGCAGCCCAACGGGGCAGAGTCGAGACACCCTTAAAATCAGGCCAGACAGACTATTCAGCACCTCCACGGCCACTGTTACTGAGAGTAATCAGATTCCCCTGGTTTCATGGAGAGTTTTGTACAAAAAAGCAGGGGAATCCTTCTTGGTCAGAACTGAACAGGTTTCTTTCCCCCGTGAGTGTTTGCGCCTGAAATATGTTAATGCAGGTGCTGACTGTACAAGAAGAAGAGACTCTTTCATATACACCATCTCTGACACTTGGTGGGCAGGGCAACCCCGTCGCGCATGGCACAAGAGGAAGAGGGCCTCTTCTCTCGGCTCCCGGCGCTTCCGACGGACACGTCCCGCTGATGGCGTTCTCAGCCTGTGTAGAGGACGGACTCCTGATCCACTCTTCTGAAAGATCCCATTGGAAGGCCAATGTTCTTACCTCCAGAAAACCATGTATGTACCAGAACACTCTGCATGTGATTTCCAAATGCGCAAGCCCCTATAAATTCTGCCCATGGACTCTCAATGAAAAGTTTTCCAAAGAGGGATTTAATTTTCCTTCTTTCATGTCATGAAGAAAATAAACTTTGAAATTAATGAAGACTAATAGTAATATAGCAGCGATAAAACTATTCTTATAGTATCACTTGAACAGAGGACAAACCTAAACCTAAACCCAACTCTGAAAATACAATTAATATTACTGCCAACTACAGGACTCCTGGCCCTCCCACATCTAAAATCCAAGGCAGCCCAAAACAAATAGCCACTAAAAGTGCCTTCTAGCTCGGCTGAAGGCTTATTATTAAGACCTGTGACACACATTCTCGACTCTTCATTGTCACAACAACATAATCCCCCAGATGAGGGAGTCAGGCACTGCTGCCTTCCATCCCGAGTCTGGCCTCCTCACTTCAGCATTCACTTGAACAGCATTTTGGGAAAAGGGGAAGATTAGGAAGCCACAGGTTAAGGATCTTTGAATCATATGACAGGCCAAGGTATAAAGAAAAACACACTTTCAAACTCTTCACGTTATTTATTTTAAAGATATTTATACCGACTTTTAGCTATGGTGGTTTTAAAACTTCACATTAAAAAAGAAAAGATGAAAAATTACTTATGTGGGCCTCCCTGGTGGCGCCAGCGGTTGAGCGCTGGGTTGCGAAGCTGCCCGCAGCCTCTGCGGTGCCGGTTCGATCCCCGGCTGCTCCCCGGCCACCGGAGGAGGGTCCCACATGGCGCGCAGACCTCTCCTGCCGCCCGCTGCTCCCCTCAGCAGTGTACTTCGGTCCTTCTGCCTGCTCTGCTCCCCGCTCTGGCTCTGGTGAACCCTCTCACCCTCCCGTGCTTCTGACTGTACCCAGTGCTTGTATAAATAATAAATAAATAAATCTTTAAAAAAAAAACAAAAAGAAAGAAAGAAAGAAAAATTACTTACATTTCGCTTCTGACAGGTTCTGATTCGGTGACCAGACCAGCATGCCAAGATTGTCTCGTTCTTGACTGCGCCTTGCTAGCTTGGCTGGGAGGAAATAAAAAAGAAAAGGCTTGTTACAATTGAGCAAAGATTAAAAAGATACGATTACCACCACCACTATGATTCTGCACCTCATCCCATGATGCATGACCCTCCTGGCGCTGAAGTCAGCTCACCACACACGTACGTTGAGATGGGGTGGGGAGTGTCTGTCTGTCTGTCTGTCTGTCTCTATTTTTTCTACTGTACTGTCACTTATTTAACATGAGCACGTGAGGTCAGTATGGTTTTTAGCTTCAGGGGCTAGGTGAGGAAACCGAACAGGTCATGTGGCCAGCAGGAGGCGGGGTCAGGACTGACCTTGGCAGGGGGGCTGCCTGTGGTGCCCGCCCAGGAATCAGACATGGGACACCCAAAAGGGAACCTACATGTGCCCAGTCGCTCAGAAACCCCTTTCAGCAGGACCCCCCAACACCAGCACCTTCTCTGCCAGAGCAACCTTTTGGCGACAAGACAACAGGAATCCAAAAGATTCTTAACAACTTTAGCGAAGACTAAATGTGAGAAAGAGCTACCCTGGAACGGGACTTCTGAAGCATGTTCACGTCCTTTAAAGCCTGTGACAGGGCGGAGCGGCAGCTCTCCAGTGCCAGCGCCAAGCTTCCCTGCGTACCTGGATGAAGTGCGGCCTACAGTCTCTTCCTAACAGGGACACTCAAACCATCATCTTCAGAAGGTACAGCAGACTCCAGAGACATGAGGCTCACTTGATACTGGCCAGGCCCACTCATTCATCTAAAGGCGTCTTTGTTTTCTTTAAATCTGCTCCTCTGGTGAAACTTACAAGCTCTACTTTCCAGTAAAAAAAACTAATAAAAAACCTCAACTAAATAAAAGCGCATGAATGGACACCCCGCCCAAATGAAAGACACTCAGAAAATTCATTCGCCTGCCTTGCAACACTGTGTTCCAGGTTTTATAAATAATAATTTCTACACTCTTGTAAAATCTGTGGGGCAACTGCTTTAAAGAAATACAATTGGATGGGGCCTTCCTGGTGGCCCAGGGGTTAAGTCTGCGCTCTATCACTGCTATGGCCTGAGTTCGATCCCCACCCCCCCCCACACCCGGGAGCTGACCCCCCATGGCACAGCAGACCTCTCCTGTCTCCCCGCTGTTCCCCCAAGCAGTGGATTTCAGTGGATCGGCCTGTTCTGCTCCCCACTCTGTCTTTGGTGAATCCTCTTACCCCTCCACACTTCTGGCCTACACCTCAGTTCTTGTATGCATAAATAAAAATATCTTAAAAAAAAAAAAAAAGGTAGGGCCTCCCCGGTGGCACAGCAGTTGAGCGCTGGGTTGTAAAGCTGCCCACAGCCTCTGCAGTGCCAGTTCGATCCCCAGCCACCGGGAGAGGGTCCCACATGGCGCGCAGACCTCTCCTGCCGCCCGCTGCTCCCCTCAGCAGTGTACTTCGGTCCTTCTGCCTGCTCTGCTCCCCGCTCTGGCTCTGGTGAATTCTCTCACCCTCCCGCGCTTCTGACTGTACCCAGTGCTTGCATAAATAAATAAATAAATAAATAAATAAATCTTTGGGGGGGGGGGAGGTAAAATGCCAAGTGTATTTCTATACACCAGCACTTAAAAATCAGAAATAAGGAATACTTCTTTCAAAATCATCAATAAATATGAAATACTTAAAGTTAAATCTGATAGATGCACACTGAAAACTATGAAACATTGCTGAGAGAACTAAAGATCTAAATAAATGGAGAGACATACCCATGTGTATGTACGAAAAGACTCCATTAAAAAATACAATTTTGAGGACCTCCCTGGTGGCACAAAGGGTCAAGACGCAAACTATGAAGCAATCCACAACCTCTGCAGCATGAGTTCAATCCCCAGCCAAGGAACTGCCCGCATGGTGCGGCAGACCTCTCCTGTCTCACCCACTGCTCCCCTCGGCAGTGTATTTCAGTCCATCTGCCTGTTCTGTGCCCCACTCTGTCTCTGGTGAATCCTCTCACCACCACCCGCCACACTTCTGGCCTATACCCCAGCTATTGTATGCATAAATAAATATTAAAAAAAATAAAAATAAAAATTACAGTTTTTTTTTTTTTAAAGATAGCTTTCTCGGGCCTCCCCGGAGGCGCAGAGGTTGAGCGCTGGGTTGCGAAGCTGCCCGCAGCCTCTAAGGCACCGGTTCAATCCCCGGTTGCCGGGTGAGGGTTCCACATGGTGCGCAGACCTCCCTGCTGCCCGCTGCTCCCCTCAGCAGTGTATTTCGTCAGTCTGCCTGCTCTGTTCTCTGCTATGGCTCTGGTGAATTCTCTCGCCCTCCCGTGCTTCTCACTGTATCCAGGGCTTGCATAAAAAAAAAGATAGCTTTCTCCCCAAATAGCTCTACAGATTCAAAACAACCCCAACACCAATACCACCATGGTTTTTTGGTTAAGAGAGAGTCTAACCTTCCTGGAGGTTACAGTTTTTGTAGACAGCATACCTACAATAGTCAAACAACTTTCAAAAAGAAGAACGCGGAAGGCTTACACTATCTATTACGTGAACCCACAAGGGCCCCAAAGCAATCCTGAGAGAAAAGAAAGATGGAGGCAAAACCAATTACAAAGAGTCAGAAACCAAGATGATGTGGCGCAGGCATGTGGGGAACACATGTGATGGGTGAAGTCCAAAGACAGACCTACGCGGGCAGGAGCTGATTCTCCACAGAGGCGCAAACACAAGATCAGTGGGGAAAAAAAAATCACCATTTCAACAAACGATGCCAGAACACATGGGCACTCACCATATCCCATATCAAAAAACAAAAACAGGGCCTCCCTGGTGGCGCAGCGGTTGAGCGCTGGGTTGCAAGCTGCCCACAGCCTCTGCAGCGCCAGTTCGATCCCCGGCCGCTGGCGAGGGTCTCACATGACACAGACCTCTCCTGCCGCCCGCTGCTCCCCTCAGCAGTGTGCTTCGTCAGTCTGCCTGCTCTGCTCCCTGTTCTGGCTCTGGTGAATTTTCTCACCTCCCCGCGCGTCTGACTGTACCCAGTGCTTGTATAAATAAATAAAATAAATCTTAAAAACAAAAACAACAAAACCAAAACCAAACAACATTTTTTAAAAAGATTTATTTATTTATGCATACAAGAGCTGGGGTGCAGGCCAGAGATGTGGGGGGTGAGAGGATTCACCAGAGACAGAGTGAGGAGCAGAACAGGCAGATTGACTGAAGCACACTGCTGAGGGGAGCAGCGGGGAGACAGGAGAGGTCTGCTGTGCCCTCTGGGTCAGCTCCCTGGCCGGGGATTGAACTCGTGCTGCAGAAGCTGCGGATTGCTTCGTAGTGCGGTGCTTACCCTCTGCGCCACCAGGGAGGCCCCAAAAACAAACAACATTAATCTGGATCCACAGCTCTCACCTTAAACAAAAATTAACTCAAAACTGATGACACAGAGGGCATCCCCGGTGGCGCAGCGGTTGAGCGCTGGGTTGCGAAGCTGCCCGCGGCTTCTGCGGCGCCGGTTCGATCCCCGGCTGCTCCCCGGCCACCGGAGGAGGGTCCCACATGGCGCGCAGACCTCTCCTGCCGCCCGCTGCTCCCCTCAGCAGTGTACTTCGGTCCTTCTGCCTGCTCTGCTCCCCGCTCTGGCTCTGGTGAATTCTCTCACCCTCCCGCGCTTCTGACTGTACCCAGTGCTTGTATAAACAAACAAACAGACAAAACAAACAAATAAATAAATAAAAAAACATGCCTCTATTAAAAAAAATTAAAAACTCAAAAAAAAAAAAACTGATGACACAGACAATTACAAAAACTTCTACAGGGAAACACGAGAAAACCTCAGATACAATACCAAAAGCATGCTCCGTAAGAGAAAAAAAATCTGTCAGCTGGACTTCAAAGTGAGAACTTTCACTCCTTAAATCACACTGAGGAAGTGAAAAATGAAAACCCGAGTCAGAGGTGGAGAGAAAATCCCAAGCCACGTGTCTGGTAGAGACCTGCATCCAGAGCACATGGAGAACACGCACACCCAACACAGGCAGCAGCGCAGGCACCACTCAAGGGCGGGAGAGGCGAAGAAACAGTCGCAAAGACGTGAGGCCAACTCTGCGGCCCGGAGAACAGGAGGCCACCCTGCAGTGGGGGTCAGGTCTGGCCGCATCCTGAGAATGGGGTGCACTACAGATCTGCTCGATGAAATAAAACTCTGCAATGAAAGGAATAAACTGAGCACACAGCATGAGTGCTGAAGCAAGTGTGCAGAGCTAAGGTGTTTCCCACAGAGAGGAGGTGGCGGCAGAGAGGACTGTGGTGCGCGACGGGGGACCTGGTGGAGACGGGCTTTGAACACAGGCAGCCAGCGTGTGCCCCGTGGACACCACGGGCGTGTGCTCATTCCAGCCCCGCCCACTGGGAGCATCTCGACACAATGACAACCCAGCAACAGTGAGCACTGCCAGCTCCCAGATCTTGGCTTCTAAATACTAGAAACCAGGTCTCCCTGGAGAAACAGACGATCCCAGGGCTAGGAAAGGAAACATGCAAGGGGATCCTAGAACATCCTATCATGCAGAAGAAAGCACTGAAATGATGACAGGATCTCCCATTGGCCAAATCTGGAACTATCTGAGCAAGAAGAAAACAAATGAAAGAACCACTCTCACTGAGTGGTCAGAAAGTCCAGGAGCACTAAACAAAGTCAGTAAAACTTGAGAGAATAAAACCCTGGACAGGGGAGGCAGAGCTGGGAGTAGGGGCAAGAGCCAGTCACAAAGTAGGATGATGAGATGTGAGGACAGAGAAAAAAAGTTTAAATACCCCTACACACTGGCCCACAACAGCTTCCCTGCCCCTCCCAAGTACAGACCCGGCGTCCTCACTTCCTTCCTTTAAATAAACTTTACTTTCTCTTTTTTTTTTTTAAAGATTTATTTATGCATACAAGAGCTGGGGTACAGGCCAGAGGTGTGGGGGTGAGAGGATCCACCAGAGACAGAGTGAGGAGCACAGAACAGGCAGATCCACTG